AAAATCGATCAGGAAATTGATGCCGGTTTTTTTTAAATCCTAAAACGAGTGAATCGAGGTAAAACGAATAAATTTTTGAAGGGGATGGATTTTTAACCTACATAAATCCTACTATGTGTTATTAATGTTACGTTCTATAAACTGTATAAAGTCGACGTTTTACAATATCGTATCAGTAGACTCATCCTTATCAAATTATCCCTATCAGGACGTCTCATTTAGGTAAAAGGTGTATCTGTAAGAATTTTGTCGCCGACTAATTTATCCAAAGGGTAATTGTTTGTTTTCAATCGATTGACCAGTGGGTCTTGCAATTGAACTCAAATGATAAAAATGGGGTTAGGACTACAAAGAACCCCATGAAATCGTGCGGAAGAAAGTAATGTCGCGAATATGATTTTGCGTACATATTACAATTTACAATATTTATGTTAAAGACTAGGATTGACTATTATGTACAAAGTAAACTATACGAGTCCATACACACACATTTACAGAAAATTAGTCAATATCTTATGCATATATACAGTTATACAATCGCAATATTATTTAGTTGTTTCGTCCAATGGAAGTCGTCTATCATGATACACTTTTAGATTAGCGCGGTTATAAGTTCCCTTAATTTTAGTTTCGTCCGATTTTTCTACTAATATAAAAGCATTGTGTCCTATTTTTTTCTTGATCTTATATGGACCTTCGAACAGATAGAAGAATTTCTTTGTAACAGAGTCGGTCACACTAGAAGAGTGGGGCACTTTTAGCAATACCAAATCGTTTACGTCCAATGGTATTGTGGACACTATTTTTTGTTGCTTAAGCCGTTTCTTATAATTTCGATATAGACGGTCTCGGGCTAATTCTATTTGTTTCTCGCTATCAATAGGTATACTGTCAGGAAATTTCACGATCGTGGATATAATATCACTAGCGGGCTTTCCGAAATGCAAGGTATATGGGGTGTACCCAGTACTAGAATGGTGAGTAACATTAAGTAATTGTTCTACTTTCGGGATGACTTTTGCCCATGCGGAATGTTTTTCCGCGCATAAGGTGCGAAATAGACGGCCTAACTCCCTCATAACACGTTCTGTGGGATTCGACTGAGGATGTCGGATGGATGAAAATAGTACCCGAATCCCTGCGCTTTCTAAAGTTTTACGCCATATAGTCGCCGTAAATTGGGTTCCATGATCTGATAGTATAGAATCTGGTTTCCCTATATGTGGTAAGTAATCATTAAATATTTTTTTCAAAATAATTGCTGAGGTTGCCTTCTTAACCGGATATAGCTTAACATGTTTCGAAAAAGCATCTAGCATAACAAAAATATATTGGACGCCTCCTGTAGAGCGAGGAAGAGGCCCATAAAAATCAACGGTGACCAACTCATTTGGCCCCTTAGTTTCAATTAATTGATAGGCACCTTCCATACATTTGTTAGTCGGTTTTACCCGTTGACATAAATCGCAATATTTTATAAAAGCTTTGATATCCTTTCTCATTTTCCGCCAATAAAAATATTGTCGCATATACGCAAAAGTTTTATATGCGCCGGCATGTCCTAATTTTTCATGACATATATGCAATAGCCTTTCAGATAATCTGGTTGGCTTAACACTCATTCTACAAACACACAATTCACACAAACACACAAAAAAATTTTTTTTTTTTTCAGGCAAAACTATTTCTACCTCGGCCTTTACGTTGGGCGCCAAATGTAATTATAACTTTCTTTTGTTAAATAAATAACTAAAAACAAGTAGCGAAATTCAACTAAACATGTGACTGATTTATATATGTCTATTCAAAATCAATTCATATTCAATTTACGTCTGATAATAATGGTACAAATTTTCCAAAAAATTATCATTAAATTTCCGTTTAGTATAACATAGATATAAAACTCACGCATAACCCATTCATATTCATATATTGTCTAGTCGAGAAATATGCATATAACATAATAAAATTGACATAAAAATATAATATTAATTAAAAGTAAGATACGTGTTTCGCTGATGATCCATTTTGTACATCCTTTTGTTCCATGTTCCCATCATCAACCAAGTCGTCAATTGAATTATTATTTCGTCCTTCAAATAGGATTTGTCGTATATTGTCGTTTGCCAATCATCCTGGATATATACAGATAATTCCTTGGTTGGGTAATATTTGACGTTCAAGATAAGATTGGATACAATTGTTAGATCTTCTTTCGCAGATACTGAGTATTAATACTAGATCTATGTTTCGTATGAATCAATGCCACGTTTTACATTATGGGCTTTAGCTATACTCTTTTACGTCTACTCAAATCGACGATCTTTTCCCGACTAGCTCGGTACCGGACACGATAGTCGCTAGTAAGCCGATACTCGTGTCTGATTGGTTATTATGGATAATACCTAGTGACACCAATTAACTTACAAGGGATATTAGCCTAGGATTATTTCTTTCATCTAGCTGATACAATATTCCCTCTATTCCATAGTCGCTCGCATCGCATTGAACCTTTAACATTGCATTGGGAATATAATGATTTAAAGTTATACAATTATAAAAGGCATGTTTTAGCGACTGGAATGCTTCCGCATGTTGTCTTGTCCATTTCCATTCATTTCCCATACTTAATAAATTTCGAAAAGGGTGTATATACTTTGCATACCCAATACTAAATTGACGGTAGTAATTACATAATCCAATGAAACTCTGCAATTGTTTTCTATTCCTTGGTTCTTCAAATTTCTTAATACGGTCTAAACGGTCTGGGTCAGGACGTATACCCTCTGCAGAAATGACAAATCCCAAGAACGGTATTTCAGACTTGCAAAATTTGGATTTAGAGAGGCGCAGTGTAAAGTTGTAATCTTTTAACCTGGTAAATAATAGACTCAAATGTTCATATATACAGTTATACAATCGCAATATTATTTAGTTGTTTCGTCCAATGGAAGTCGTCTATCATGATACACTTTTAGATTAGCGCGGTTATAAGTTCCCTTAATTTTAGTTTCGTCCGATTTTTCTACTAATATAAAAGCATTGTGTCCTATTTTTTTCTTGATCTTATATGGACCTTCGAACAGATAGAAGAATTTCTTTGTAACAGAGTCGGTCACACTAGAAGAGTGGGGCACTTTTAGCAATACCAAATCGTTTACGTCCAATGGTATTGTGGACACTATTTTTTGTTGCTTAAGCCGTTTCTTATAATTTCGATATAGACGGTCTCGGGCTAATTCTATTTGTTTCTCGCTATCAATAGGTATACTGTCAGGAAATTTCACGATCGTGGATATAATATCACTAGCGGGCTTTCCGAAATGCAAGGTATATGGGGTGTACCCAGTACTAGAATGGTGAGTAACATTAAGTAATTGTTCTACTTTCGGGATGACTTTTGCCCATGCGGAATGTTTTTCCGCGCATAAGGTGCGAAATAGACGGCCTAACTCCCTCATAACACGTTCTGTGGGATTCGACTGAGGATGTCGGATGGATGAAAATAGCACCCGAATCCCTGCGCTTTCTAAAGTTTTACGCCATATAGTCGCCGTAAATTGGGTTCCATGATCTGATAGTATAGAATCTGGTTTCCCTATATGTGGTAAGTAATCATTAAATATTTTTTTCAAAATAATTGCTGAGGTTGCCTTCTTAACCGGATATAGCTTAACATGTTTCGAAAAAGCATCTAGCATAACAAAAATATATTGGACGCCTCCTGTAGAGCGAGGAAGAGGCCCATAAAAATCAACGGTGACCAACTCGTTTGGCCTCTTAGTTTCAATTAATTGATAGGCACCTTCCATACATTTGTTAGTCGGTTTTACTTTTTGTCACAATACGCAATGGATTACAGTAGGGACTTACAGATCTTTCAATAATTCCTGCCTCTAACATATATTGTATTTCTTTGGCAACTGCTGTTCTTTGAGATAATGGAATGGGATATGAACGCCTAATAAATGGTTTATCTTTGGTTAGTTGAATTTTATGCTCGTAATGTGATATTGAGCTTGGCTTATCATTAAATAAATCACGATGTTTGCTCATCAGTGCAATAAATTGAGCTTTCTCTTCCGAACTCAACAATGTTAGCTCACGCACGATAGGAAATAATTCGGTCAAGAATGCGTCTTTATTGGAAGCTTCTTTGTCAATGCACTCCTCGGTAATTTCAACGCTAACATTATGAATGTCCTCAAGAGTCTCCCGTTCAATGAGATCTTTCAAAGGATACATACAAGCATTATTGCATTGAATATTCTTCCCTATGAGACTATCATTTTGAATATGCCATTTATTTGATTCTATAACAGACACATTATAATTATACAGATCATAATATCCGGATTTTTTCTCAATACATATATTCTCACTGTCCTCGTGAGCAGACTTTGCTGTATTTGTGCTACGGCCGCATTTCTTGCCAACCGGCATCATTATTTCTTTACAATCTACTTGCTTCAAATTGTTTGAATCAAATAGCATAGCAATATTTAATGGAACATCGTCCCAACTGAGATCAGAGTTTTCCTGGAATTGTCTCAATGAACAATCAATGCTTGTATGGTGATTGGCATCTGAGAACATTTCGCACGCTTCACGATTATTATCCGATCTTCTCCTTTACTGATTAATATTTTTCGGCGAAATACACCGATTTTCTATCAAGTGATCAATATTTATTTAATAATCACATTGACTTTCCCCCTGATCTGGTGTATTATCATTAATTTCAATAACAGCTACAGACACTTCCTTGACCGCACCATTCCCAAACATAGTAAGCCCCGGAGAGAGTACGGCCCCCTTTACTGTTACCGATTTTGCATCATAATCTAATATTGCACCAACGCGGTCTAACCAATCATTTCCCAAAATTATGGTACATGTTAACCCAGATATAACAAAAAAAACGTGTTCATCTACGACTTCTCCCATAGCAAATTTTACAAACAATTGTTTTTTAACTATCATTAATTTCAATAACAGCTACAGACACTTCCTTGACCGCACCATTCCCAAACATAGTAAGCCCCGAAGAGAGTACGGCCCCCTTTACTGTTACCGATTTTGCATCATAATCTAATATTGCACCAACGCGGTCTAACCAATCATTTCCCAAAATTATGGTAGATGTTAACCCAGATATAACAAAAAAAACGTGTTCATCTACGACTTCTCCCATAGCAAATTTTACAAACAATTGTTTTTTAACAGCAGTCGCCTTCCTACCCACCGCTGTAATTACATGCATGTTGGAAACAGGCAGCTCCGGTATTGCTAAGTGTGCTAATACATGCTTATAAAACTGCTCCGAGACACATGAGAGCTGGCTACCTGTATCCACCATTGCCGAATACACACGACCCCCTATTGTAACGAGCATATACAGACACTTATTTGCCCTATTCTCCGCATTATCACCATTATCACGATTATTTTGACAAAGGTCCTCTTCAACTTCCTCTACGAAATCATATCTTTGGGTGTGCCTCGACGGACCAATATCTCCCACACCCTTCATTAGTTTAACGAGGAATGATTATTAAACGAACTTTGAACTTGTGGTATGTTTACATTAGGAGGAGGATATCTCATGTCGGGCAAAGACAAAG